CAGAATAACTTAGATAGCATATGCAATTAATGTGACTGATAAATCATGTGTATTTACTCATAGTCCTGTATAAAAAATAGAAATTTCAACAACTGATAAGTTCTATCAATCTCTATGTATTAATGGTCAAGGACTCGAAAACTTTCTTATCAAATATCCTTGGCGAGTGCGTTATTATTTTATCTGATGTGTATGGCGTAATTACTGTTAAATATGTACCATAGTTAAAGACACACATGATTCTATTAATAAATGTACTAACACATATCTATTCTTACAGTTATGTTTTTTGTCCTTGAAATTTTTCTTTTCTTCTCGATCTGTTTTTCTTTTTACACTTACATCTTTTTGACTTTTTTTTAAAAATTACTTTCAATAAATATTTGAAATTTTTCAATTCACTAAAAGATGTTTTTCAAAACAAACTCTTTGTTTAATAATCGAAATTTTGTTTCTGTCATCTTTGATTCTAACCTGTTATCGTCACTATTAACAATATGATTAACAATTGTGCGTAAACAATTTGCAATTTCATCAATAAATTGTATTTGATTAAATTTTGTTAAAAATTTTCTTCGTTTTATTATATCTTGTGTATGACACATTTGTCGTATAGTATGTTCTCGACAAATATTATATTCTATAGTTAATGAATGTAAACGATATGTTTTTTTCATTAAATAACATCGTCGATGTTTCATTATAACATATGTTTGATTTTGTTTTTCTTTTTCTTTGGAATTTATTAATGATCGATGATTAGTATCAGACTTATCTGATAAAAGTAAAATATCACTATCATCTTCATTAAATAAATCTTTTTGTTTAGAGATTTTTTTCTTTGTTGTTTTATTTGTATGTTGATCATTAAGTATTGCTGATGATATTATTAATCGTTGATCATTATTATTATTATTATTATTATTTGTTTTATTTGTTTTTGTTGATGATGAATCCATACATAAAGCAAATGTACCATCAGAACAACGTGTTACATAAAGTAAATCATAAGATTTTGGATGTAAGGAATCATTTGTATTTTCATGCACACTTAATGTATGTTTTTCAAACATGTGTTGAGTGAGATTATAATGTGAATATGTATAAAATGAACATTGGTCACAGAAAAACATATGTGTAAATAGATGTTGAAGTAGAGTTGAACTTAAAATATAAATATAAATTATTCTATAGAATATTTAAAAAAAAAAACAAATTAAATTAAAATTTACCTTGTTACACTTTTAAATTTACATATATTACATTGATAATATTTAGAATCATGAAAAGCTGAAAATAAACCTGTACCATTAAGTATTTGTCGACGTATAGTTGGCGTAGAATTATTTATTGAAGATGTTGTCATTATTGTTGTTGTTGTAGCACATGATGATGATGATAATCGTAAAGTTTTTTGTGTTTGTGGAATTATTGGTTGTTCAGGTTGTCGACGAACAGGTGATGGAGGTGAAGTCTAAATATATGTAAAAGAAGAATTGTTAGAATTTTATTTCATTTTGTTTTAGAAGTTAAATATGTATTAATTATTGAATACAAGATCTATGAAAATCAAATCGATGATATAATTTTGAATAGTAGTAGATCTAGAGGGTAGAGAACTCTTTCCTTACGAAATTTTTTTTTCTCAACAGAAAATATTCAAAAAAATGAGCCAATACGAATTTCAAAGTAGCATTATTTCTAAGAACAGTAAATTTTATCTCGTCTCCAGAGACTTAAAGAAGATTTTGATAGACATTAGTTACCATGTATGCTAATAAAGAGAAGCATAGTAGATTTGAAACATTCAGTACAGATACTTTTATCAGCAATAATTAGAAAGACAGCTGCAATCGTTTTTGTTTTTTGTTTTGTTATTCATGGTATAAACTTTGTCTCACAACACATCTATCATGATTAATGTCATATATACAACTGAGCTTATTTACTATATGAAACATGATTTTAAAAAAATATGTTGAAGTAAACGAGTAGACATTTGAACTCCTCACAGATGCCTTAGCAACGAACTTATCACAAACATCATAAATCCTTTAATGAAAAACTTATTTTTTAAGTAAATAAGGTAAAAATCTATGGTTAACGCTGTATTAATTTATTAATAATCATAGTTCTTGCACTTAAACTTAATTTAACAATGCAATGTTTTTACCAGTAGCATCTATGTTAAAACACAACAAATATTGAAAACATAAATTTACAGACTTTGTCGTCAAAAGATTACGATACCGCTACAAACACCTTAGTAACGCCTCTTTACAGTGGCAAATATAACCGTAAGATCAAAGTCTGCTGCGATATTAGTATGATAATTGTGCTTTTACTTTTCTTTGATACTCACGGCAATATATTGTAATTAATATCTAGCATTAACAGTAGGTAGAAATTCATAAATGGAAATGTATTCACTCTTTTATAAAATCAGCATATCCATTGTGGTTTACATTTTAATCTCGCTAATAGCTTTGTCTTATGTTATAGAAATTAAACAGATATTAATATTCTATCTTCGATGAAAATTTTTATTTTTGTCTCATAAATTTTATGTTATATATTAGCCAAAATACGGTTTATTTTTGACATAAGAAAGCAATAAAAATTGAGAAGAATGATTCTACTTATTGTTTATAACTTTTTAAATTTACATCTGACATGAATGAAAAAACAAACGAAAGGAAAGAAAAATCTGTAAGATGTATATGAATGATGAAAACGAAATGGATTATCTCATAAAGGTTATTATTTTTCTTAAAATACGACATAAAACAACAAAATTTAATCTTACAGATTTTGTATATGAAATTCGAGAATTTTTCACTGGTCGACCACGTTGTACATTTGGTCGAAAAAAAGATGTTGTTGGTTTAGGTAAAGGTAATGAAGAAAGTGCTAATGATGGTTGTTGTACAGGAATAGCAATTGGTTTTCTTTGTTGTTGAATAAATTGATTATTTGAATTTGTGCTATCTGATTTATCAATTGAACGTTGTACTATATTGTTTTTATTTGAAGTTGAAACCGTAGAACTTCTTGAAACTGTTTGAATAGGATGATTTGAAGATATTTTAGTTGATAATAAGGGTGGTGGTGGTGGTTGAATTGACCAATCAAAAGAACAAAATGCAGGTGGATCAGGTTCTTCAATGATATATTCATCGGGATCAAGTAAAATTGGTTCAGGATCTGGATCTGAATCAATAAAATTTCTTGATGTTTGCTGTTGATAATGATCATTTCGTTGACGTTTTGACCAATTTACAATCGATGGATTAATACGAACATTTGTATTTGTTATTTTACGTTTTTTACGTGATGTATTCATATCATTAGAAGATGATGTTTTCGTTAAGGATATATTTGTGTCGGCATATGAATTTTGTCTATTATAATTGTTATCATCATAATCATCATCATCATCATCTCCTAAATATAGCACAGGTGGTGAAGATGAAGAATCCATCTATAATAAACATAAATATAAATCAATTGACATATAATTATCTATTGGATATTTTGTTTTAGTAAGCAAATAATAAAACAACAAAAATAAAATGAAATCAATCAACCATCGTTACCGTTTTTTCTTTTCATCGCTACAAGCAAATACAAAAAGACATAATACATAGCGCTAGAAAAGAAATTTTATAATTGGTTAATTGATTTTATATGTGCACATATTTTATTTTCAACACACTTCGACATTTTCAATTTAAAAATAATTTTTTTAAACTAAAAAAAACAAATGTTTCATTATGAAGGATTTACCTAGGTAGCGAAGTAGAAGTTACATTTTGATAAATAACGTATGAATATTTAATTTTATAATTGTTTGCATTTATTATCAATTAATAACGTTGGTATTTTGTACTAATTAATTTAATTTATTTTATTTTAAACTATTCGAAAGTATAATTTAAGTTAAAAAGACAAGAATTAATATAAATATTTTAGTAGTTGTTGGTTAGGAATAGTTGGAACGTTTGAAATTAGATTGATAAAAATTTTGCAAAAAATAAACATTTGTCTTGCCGTGAAAGTTTTTTTATGAAAGAAGTCAATGATTTGAATGTTTTCTTTTTCTATTAGAAAGACTTGATAGTGATAAGTGTTGGTATCTGCATCAAGATTGACATAGAATGTAATGTTTTAGAAGAACTGGCGATTCTGAATTTTAATCATGATATAGAAAGTATTGATTTATGGAAAAACTCATCAATGAAATCGATCAAGCATTGCCCATATGTTTTTTGATACAATCAGTCAATTATAAATTTACTAATATTTCTTTAATAACTCAATTTAGTGAGATAAATATTTGAAGTTTTAATGTTTGATTGAAATCATATATTTGATGAAAATTAATTTTAAAATTATGAAAAATAAAATGAATTTAATTTTGAAATGATAAATGTACATATTTTTTTTATTCAATCAATATTCTTTATTGGAATCATTCGAACAATAAAAATATTAGATCATTAATTCTTCTGATGAGAAATATGGTCATAATATTTTTTCTTGTGTTTAGAAATAGTTTATTATATTCAATTGAGTACTTGTAAATTGAATGTACATCATTAACAACGAATCTCTGTCCAAACCTGTTTTCTTTTTTTCTTACCTTACCATAGAAACAAAAGAAAAAAAAAATACATTTGTAAAAAAAAAAAAAAAAGAGATATTTTGTCGCGATGCCGCATTTCAAAAACAGTTGATTTTAACTTATTTATGAGTATTGAATCTATTTCATTTAAGAGAAAAATTGGCTTGTCTTTTGGATCTTATATAAATGGCTACTTCAGTATCGGCTTCTTATTCTGCCGGTGATACATCTCATGAAAAATTTCGACGACAAATTAATCCTCATCAAAGTATTCCTCCATTACGTCGTGAACGAACAGCTATCGATGAAGAATTTAATCGAAATCAACAATTAAGACCAATCTATTCTCATGAATCACCAGTCAGATCTTTAGCATTTTCCGGGGGTATGAATGATTATTTCGTTTTTTTTTTTTTGTCTTAAGAAAAAAGAAAATTTATTTCATATAGAAAAACAATATGATCGACGTCAAGTATCAACAAAAGTTCGTTCAGCAAAATCAGACGAAGTAAAATGTCTTTTTCGTTTTCTTTTTTGTTATTAAAATATGAATTAATTTTCATTTCATGTAAAGATCTTTCATTTAATCGATCGAAAATTACAAACAGGTGTTCATGGTGTACGTCACATGTTTCGTTCGAATGATCCTAATCAAGAAGGAAAATTATCTAAGTAAACAGAAAACTTCAAGATCGCAATAATATAATGGTTTTTTTTCCCTATTAATCATATTTTAGAGAAGCATTTCGACGAGTATTATTGCAATTATGTGGTTATATCAATGCTGAAGAATGGGAAAAAGTATGTAAAATGTAAGTTTGATGTTTTTCTTTTGTGTATGTCAATTATAATTTCCTTTTTTTAATAATGATCAAAATTTAGGTTTCATATCAATGAACGTGATAATACAATAACATTTCAAGAATTTCTTTCTTATTTTCCGAATAATGAGGTTAGAAAATAATATAATATCATTTATTGATTTGTTTGGCTTTGATTTTTTTAGAAAGTTAAACGTGAATTATCATTATCTCAAATAGATCGTCGTAGTTCGTCATTATTAACTTTAAGTCAAAATGCAGCTTCTTCTCAACAATCATATCATAAACATAATTTACCTAAACTTACTGCTAATTATTGTTTTTCATTAATGAAAGCAAGATGTCGTGATCCGTAAGTGTTTTTGCTTTTTTTATTGCTTGAGAGGAGACTCCTCCAACTGATAGATCGATTTTGAGTCAAAAGTATAGAAAAGATATCGGGCTATTGAATCTGTCGAAAGACAAGAGTATTCTAAAAAAAATTGTAGATCCAAAAGAGCTCGTATCCTTAGCTTATTGCTGTGGAGGTGATGCACTTTAACAATATTTTCTTTAAATGAATGCATAAACAACAGAAACAGTGCTTTTTTGAATTTCGACTTGAAATTTTAGATAGAGACAGATCTTAACAAGAATCGATTCTTGTTAATGTTCCAACTCTTGCCGCTGTTCTTATCCTAAGATACAACTATAGTAATAGCATCAAGTCGAAATTCAGTTTTTCTGTTGTTTCCGCATTCATTCTAAAAAATATCGTAAAACTAAAGTGTTTTCATAGCAATAAGCTAAGGGCACGAACTCTTTTCAGGATATTCATAGGACACAAAATGTTATCGAATATATTGTAAGGTACAGTCAAGACTTTTATAAAGTTTAGCGCAAGAAAAAAAAGCTATTTATCCGACTTACACCTTTTCAACGTAAAATGATCCTCCGTTATAACTCTGTCAGTTTTTTACCGAAATAACCAAAATTCTTCATTTTTCCTTCGCGAAAAATATTTTTGATCTCTCTCTAATATACTATCAATGCATTTAAATATATGAAAATTAGTCAAATATATTATCTAGAAACGTTCATCCTAACTTCTTACTTGAATTCTTTGTTTAGATCATTTAAACCGGATGATTATTTACCACATGATTGTTTAAATGATGGTAATATTATACGTGATCATTTAAAAAAGATTTTAGAAAATTTTCAATTGGATGATATTATTGATAATGAAAATGAATTTGAAAAATTATGGTCTAAATTTGATCTTAATAATTCTGGTATGGTACGAACAAATATATTTCTTCGCTTATTAGATTATCGTGTTAATCTTGCTGATGAAATTGATGCTAATATTCAAAGATTAGTATCACGTTCAGGTGCAGCTGGAATTGTTGATCGAAGAGTTTCATCATCAGCTGTAATAAGTGGATCATCACCATCAAGAAAACAAAGACAATTACTAATAAATAAAAACCGAGAATATAATGAAAATGAGCGACAATTTAAACATAGTGTACCACCACCAACAGCCTTAGGTGAACCATTAGATGAAACAATAAGAACTTCAATGGAACAACAAATTAATGATGATGATAATAATTCAAATAAGATTTCATCGAATGTTGATTTATCGACAAGAGAAATGAGTACAAAATTTCGAACATTGGTACAACAACATAGAAAAGTGGTCAAACAATTAAATGAAACTGATGAATTTTTACCATTTCTCGATCGAAAAGTAAATAGATTTATTTTAATTGTTTTTATGTCAAATATGAAAGATTCATGATGAAGTTCATTATCTTTAACTGATTATCCATATATTATATTCAATGAAAAATTGGTCACATATTCTTTTTCTTGATCATTCCTGATACTGGAAGAAGGTATATCGATCCGCGTGAAATTTTTATCACAGATATGGTTTCCTACAGGACTACATCGAACCTGCTTACCATTATCTTTCTAACAAATTTTGACGTATTTCTTTTATAAAAAGAAGATAAAAGCGACATGTTTGAAAAAGCTGAAAATCAGTTGTGAGATACAACCTAAGATATCTGAAAAAAATTCTCAGTCCTTATTCAGATCGATTGTGTCCTTTTCGAGAACCAAAAAGAGGATGTTGCCGTAATATACACGACCGAGATGACGAATATTAAGTACCATAATTAATATTATTTTTTATACATATCATAGTCAGTTTAGGTAGATAATAAATTCCACAAGTCAATTTGAATCGTAGAGATCCATGTTAAGAAAAAATCTATTTATTGCACTTAAGCGGACTCAGATTCCGTCTGTTAAAAACAAAATTTTCTTTTTTGATTTTCGACTTTTCGTCGCTAATATAGCTTCGAAGTATTCTCTATCAAATGTCGTATAAATGAGAATCCTTCGTTGTTAGTTAGTACTTTTAATAAAGGCAACTCTCGAATTCCCTACTAGAAAAATTTGTACTGCGATTATTCGTTGTATATTAAATTCCCCTAATTCTAACGATTACTTCTCAGTCCAAAGATGCTGAGAGAGCATAGGTCATGAATCTCTAACACCACCAACCATCGCTAGTTTTCCATCAATTAAATTAGAGAAAAAAAGTCTTGATAAATGCAAAGATATTTTTTCTCGAAATTAATTTTTAAACGACCAAATCCTTTTAGAATTTTTATTAGATCTAGCAAAAACAGAAGATAGTTAAAGTGTTATTAAATCAAAAATATTCAGTTCTTTATAAACGAAATCTTAATTATTATGTATTTCATATAAAAAAAATCCTAATTTTTAGGTAAATGAAGGTTATTTCTGTTTGAAAACAGTTTTTTCATATTTGGATTCAAATCAAACAAATTTTATAACTAAACAACAACTTATTGCTGCACTCAATCAATTTGATATTCCAATTTCACTTGATAATATTAATCAATTTTTACAAAAGTATATACAAAACAAAGCAACAAAAATAAAAAATCTTAATGAATATATTTTGTATTGAAAATTTCTCTTTAGACATCATTGCACAACATCAAAAACTATCAATAATGAAAATATGATTGATTATAATGCATTTTTAAAATATTTTCAAGATCGTTCAGAATCAAGTTTTCTCGCTCATACTCTTAATATATTTACTAAAGAAAAGTAAATAATAAAAAATATTTTGTCAATAATTAACATATTTGCTTTTTGTTTAAAGATCAACTACACTGAAATCCGATTTTAATAATATTGAAAATGGTATTATTGATTTATTACATCATGTTTTTCTTTCTCTAACAGCTGCATTCAAGTTTGTTATTATAAAAATTCTTTTTCTTTTTGTCTCAAACAAAAATTTTTCTTTTTAAGATATATTTCAAATGATATTGATGATTTATGTCCCGAAAGAGAATTATTTCTTATATTAAAAAAAGAACTTAGTATTGCTGATAATTATCGATTTACTGATAAACAAAAAAATGAAGTTTATAATTTATTAAATTGTACTGATACGATGAAACAAAAACGACAATTACCATATAAACGTTTGTTATATTTTCTTAGTAAAACGTTAGTTTTCATATTTTATTTTACGATTTTGAATTGATTATTCTTTTATTGTTGTAGAACAATACCAATTAATAAAGAACGGCATATTGAAAAAAAAGAACGAAATATTGAAAAAAAGGAAGAAAGATTTATTGAAAAAAAAGAAGAAAAATTCATTGAAAAAAAAGAAGAAAAACCATTAATACCACTAAGAAAATTATCTTATGTAAATTAAAATAACTCATTTTAATTTATTTTTTCTTGTTGATTTATAAATTTAGATTGAAAAAATTTTAAATGATTTAATTCGTCTTCGTATGCATACATTTACTAAAGTATTTTCTCGTATTGATCAACCACGAACAGATAAAATTAATAAAGAACAATTTTATGAAGTTCTTCGACAGTAAAATTAATAAAAAAAATTATTTTTGTTTTTTTCTTATAAGAAAGAATTTTCTTTTTTAATAGAATGGATACAGATTTAACACAATCGGAAGTAGATATGATTTGGGCATCAAGTGGCTTTCATATGGATAAAAGTGTTCTATTTGCAAATTTAATTCGACAATTAATTATGTTCAATCGAGATGAAAATCAAGCTACACTCAATCAATGTAAGATATTGAAAATTCGAAATTTAAACAAAAAAAAAATTTTTGCATTTTCCTTGTCACTGTCGAATAGAGTTCGTTAAGTTATCTATAAAAGTATTATTGTCGACCACGCATGAAGTCTCGATAGTTTCAATATTTATTCGAATTTTATTTTATTTTTCAGTATCTAAACAAAAATCTGTATCGAATAGCGTATTTAGTACTCAAAACTAAGTTTTGTCAAAATTCAGTTCCTACACCTCTTCACTATGGATGCAAAGGTACCAGTAAATTACTGGTAGTATGTTTGTATCCTTAGCGAACAAAATGTGATAAGTAGCATTTGTAGGTGATCCAGTAATAGATAAGGATGGGAAGCTATCTTTACCGGTCAATTAAATTACCAAGTCATTGGTAGCAGATCTGTTATCAATTTACGTGGTAATGAGAAAGAAAACTTTGAACATGATCTTTTTGGTCATGAAAAGTCTATATTGATAAATGTAACGTTTTTTTATAGAAAGTTTGACCGAAGGTATTCGAGATCAAAAAAGTTAAACTAGAAGATTTTCAGAATCTCCTTATAAAATCGGATTGATTTATCCCAAAAGCCTCTAATCGAAATTTATAAAACTAAAGTATACAGGTCATTCTTGACCGAAAAACTGAGTTCACAAATTTGAATTGCCAGTCAATTGACATCGTAATGGTAATTGATTAGAAATCGAATGGTACACTATCACTGTAGCATCCATAATCTTCACTATTATTTTCAAATAATCCGACCTTTGGTTCGTCTAAGGTCGAAATTTCACAAAACTAATTTTGAGTATTAAGTATACTATTCGATGCAGATTTTTGTACTGATTCTGAATATGATATTCGCTTCTTTCGGAAAGAACCTGTTAGTCGGGAATATCCTCTGAATACGAACCTATTTTTATGGCTTTTTGCTATCATATCGAAATTTTTGAATAATCAAACAATATTTTCAACAGCGAAGACTATTGTTACTTTTCTCAGCCAAACTTTCACTACAGAAAACAAGATTTTTTGCGAGTAAATTTGATGAGCTCTATCCAACCATAACAAAAAAAAAAAACTCTAAAAAATTTCGCTCAAATTTTGACCTGTCGGTACCTTTTATTACACAGATAATTTCATTTATTTTTAGTGCAACGTTCTCGATCAATACATGATCATCGTATCTCATCAACAGCAAGATCAATAATGTCAACATCAGGAAGAGCTACATCATCATCAGGCAGAATTACTGATACATCAAACGGTAGTGAATCAATAGATTATCATGAATTATATAATCGTATTCTTCCATATGTAAGATATCAAAAATAATTTTTCAGAGTTTTAAATATCGTTTTATGTTGTAATTTGAGTTGTCATTTACTTATACTTGATTTGAGAAGAATTTTAGACAATAGTAATGTGTAATTAACGATAGTCTCCATAAGATTATTTCAGAACTTATTCAATCAATAAATTCATGTGCTTGAAGATAAAATCGAAATATACGTACATGCTCTCAATTGTATATAGAGTCGTCAGTAAAAATTCAACTTTCATAGAGCATGCACACTATGTCTTCATATGTCTCTACTATGCGATTCGACCTTACCAACTAAGTTTTGTTTTAATGACAGATTCATACACTGAGGGTTTATTTATACAAGCCAACTTCAAAATTATCGCCTCTAAACGAAAAATAAAAGCGATTCATTTTTTAATTATAGCGATTTCTTGAATTATTTTGATCTTTAATAGCAGTTTTATACACATTTGTTTTGATAAATTCCTATAAAAAATTCTCTGTAGTAAATCTAGTGACCATGAATATCTAAGATCAATCCATCTCTTCTCAACTACTGATTATCAAACTTATCGATCAGCCAGAAGCAAACTGTCTTCTGAGCGACATGTTCTGGCACCTTATATTGCTAGAAAATCACTTTTTTTCGTAATTTCTTTTTTCTATAAAATTAGAGAAAAGAAATTTGACACATGTCAAGATTATTTTGTTGACCAACGTTTAGATCAACAAAAAATGACCCAAAAAATCAGTTTGTTTGACATAACACATTACTAAATAAGTTTTGGTGAGTGTGTTGCAACTTCGAAGCAATACATCAACCATGCCAAGTCTAAATACTATAGCTGTACTTATTAAGCAATGCAAAAAAGTGAGCGTATCAGTAACATTCAATAAAATGAAGCAATTAAAAATAATGGTTATATAGTCTTTCTATATATAAAAAAAAAGACTGAATTTTTATATTTCAGTTAAAGATGATAGCTTTGAAGGTTATTTGTATAAATAAAAACTCGGCGTACGGCCCCACGATTTCAAAAAATCTTCGTTGATAAAGTTATATCGAAAAGATGAATGAAAAAATTCTTTGAAAGAGACTTTTGGGACGCACTATGTATTCGACAAATAATCTGGAATAGCATAAATACAGGCGGACGTAGGTTTTGCGTTCTCTTCTTGATGGTGATAGCTACGGGCAATCTGAAAAAAAAAACATTTAGGCAGGTAGAAGAATCCTCTATCAGGATTTGTGGAACTAAAAACTCCAACGCAAACACTTGGATAAGGATGTCGCGAAAACCAAGACCTCTGAAATCAGTTTTCTGACATCCATTTGAAGCTTTTTGAAACGTTTTTATTTGATAGAACAAAATGAAACGTCTCCGTTTTCTTTATCGGACTGCATTCAATTTATAGAAGGCTTCAAATCGTCAAACGCAGCGAAATCATTGAAATTTTTTATAAAAACAAAAGAAAAATGTTTGTTAGATCTTCTATAAATTGAACACAAGTCGATGAAATAGAGCTGAAACATCTCATGTTGCTCTATCAAATGAATGCCAGAAAACGAGTTTCGAAGGTCTTAATTTGTTACACATTCTTATCCAAGCAATCTTATTGGAGTTTTTAAGTTCACAAATTCTGATAGAAAATTCTTTTAGCTATTCAAATACTTTCTTTGATATTATTCCTAACTATCACCATCGAGAAGAACACTCAAAAATATAAATATTCTAAAATTTTGTCCACCACTATACGCATAAACAAGAACTTGAATCATTCACATAATCTATGTTTTTTAGATTCGTCAAAATTATAAGAGAATTAAAAATGAACTACTTCAAAATGATCCAACAGCATCTGGTTTAATTGATTTTTCAACATTACAAGTAAATAATATTTGTTTAAATCGATATATTTCTAAGATATGTCTTATTTCAAAGAATATTTTTCATCATTATTCTGTTCCAATTAATGATATAGAATTAGGTACACTTATTCGTCTTGATAATCCACGTAATGGATCAAAAATTCAATATCCATTTTTTATACGAAAATATCATCCCGATGGACCTGTTATAAGAATTGTAATTCAAATCTATATAGGAAATATTTAAATTTATTTCATTATTTTATTTTAGAGTCCATGGTCACGTGTTCATCCAATTTATGAAGAATTAATTCAAAAACAACATGCGAAAGTAATTTTTAATAAATATTAAAAAAAAAAAAAGAACCGAAAAGGTAATATTATATTATTTAAGCATCCAATTAAAGAAGTTTATGATCAACGAACACAGGTTCGTCTTATAACATTATATATTTTCAACACAACATATTATATTAGTATCACTGCTGTGCTTTTTCCTACTATTCAATTTTTTTAACTATTAATGATGTGTGGCGTGCGTGTATAATTTTCGTTTTTTTTTCACTTGCCTTTGCTATATTGCTCTCAAGCGATCATCATCATCAATAACCTCAATGCTTATGTATAACGCACTTGGAATAAATTGTGAGTATGTAATAAAAAATATTATTTTAATTAGTATTGATTTTTATTTGACAAAATTTCTTTTGTTTTCATGATTGTAGAATCCACGCGATTTAAAATATCTTATTCGATTATTCAATTCATATGATAAAACACGCAAAGGTATAGCATAAGCAAAAATAAGAATGACATTTGATTTTTATAACATCATGTTATTTTCTATATGAATCACTGTCCAACATGGATGAAATTCTTGTGATCTGACTCGAATTCTGATCTCGACCACTTTTCTCTTTCTCTGAAGAAAATCAAGTTCTGAATTTTTTTTCCTTTCATTTCATAGTTGAAAATAATGGACATGTCTTTGATCTTTTTTTGCCCTTCATATCTCATCGATATTCTGCGGTTGGGATAACACGATTATGTAATAGAATGTTTTCTTGTTTGTCTTTCTTTTTTCATGTATACAGCCTGCGACCTTATATATCATGATTGAAGAAACGGTGCACTCGCAATGCATGTTTGTTTGATGTTAGAATAGAAAAAAATGGTGAAGTAGAAGAAAAGATCGTGTGATACATAACTTTCTGTTTTACTAAACTTTCTTATAGAACTTTTAATGAAAAAAGAAAATATTCAGACTACATACCCAATCCGAAATCCAAAACTTTTTTCATAACCCGCCGTTCGACTCGGATACTGATATCAATAATCTCTGTGTTTTCCCTTCAATCTCTTCGAAAAAAGAGACTTCGTACTGAAGCTTAAAAATATATGTTAACTCTTAACTATTATCCATTTCTGAAAATAAGTCGCTTGGGCAGAATTCTTATAACTTTTGAAGGGAAAGTCATAGAGAGCTGCGGTTTTCACCGTTGGATAGAGAACATCAGGGCACATAAGTCTATGCAAAAACCGATGGGTCAATCCATAAAAATACTCGTTATCTGCGTCATCAAATTTGGATGAAAATTACATAAAATATGCCTATTCTTGAGATTTAACCTTANTGTCTAGTCCATCTCATTGGAGTAATTCGTTGACACAAGAAGTACCTGTTTATACACCTCGTTCAGTAATGACCGAACTTGAACCTCAATCACCTACAAGTTCTGCTACTAAACGACCTTTTTCTGATGTTAGCAATCGAACGATTGGTAAACAAGAAAAATTTTTATTTTATTTTAAAATTTACTTTTCTTTTCTTTTTGTTTTACAAAAGCTGTTCGATCATTGACAAATAATCAACCACCATCGAAATTAGAATTTTCAACACCAGTACGATCATCTACATCTGATTTATACAATCGAGTACCATCATCTATTAAACGATCACGTCTTGCACCTGCCTTTGCTTATTCTACTTCTTCTTCGTCATACGAAACATCGCCGCCAACACAACAATTGTCTGGCGTAGCATCAACAATCGATACAACTGAGTAAGTTATATTCCAATCATAATATTCTTTTAATTTTGATATATTTCAATTATTCTAGACGAGCTTTAGAAATTGCACTTTTACTTAAAGAACATCCAGATTGTAGTTGTGTACTTGTTACACTTATTCAAGAATATCAAAGCCGGTAAAAAAGAGTTTCATTTAATACTATACGATGTTTTATAAATTTTGAGGGGCGATAAAATTAGTTTATATGCAGACAGAAAAATAACCCTTTACTGAATGTGTTTTATATAAGCCTTGAATACTTAGTTCAGTCTTTCAAATGATATATTATTTGAATAATAATTTCTTTTGTAATAATAAAAATATAGATATAAGAATATGGGAGGATAAGTTTTTCAAAATTGATCAGCATGACTTTTTAATAGATTACTGAACAATTCTATGTAAAAAAATAGCGCCATGCATTGAGTAACCAAATTGCAATGGTCTGCAGAACGAAATACAAATAGCAATAATTGTCTCTTGCGCTATTGATGAATTATCTAATAATTGAGTTTTATCCCAAAAATGGTGACGCTAAATTTGCTAATGTATGGTTCACTGAATATTAAAAGATGGAGAACAATTCTCAAGCTTTCAAAAAAAAATAAAAGCTTAATATTGAAAACACGAATACTCAAGGCTCATAAAAACACATTCGGTTGTGAGTAATTTTCTGTCTGTATATAAACTGATTTTTTGTTCCGTCTCAAGACTTATCAAACTCCTTATCAATTTGTTTTTTATTAGATTTCAAAAACCTCTTCATGTAAGTGAATTATATACAATGAAACATGTTATTGACATTCAAGATTATGGAGGGAATCGAATTGCTCGTCTATTACCAGCATTTCGTGTTCGTTTCAATGAAAATTATATTCATGTATGTGATCATATAGTTCTTTATATTTAATCAATTATTATTTGCTTTTAGACTCAACTTGAACAACCTTACTGCATAGTGCATTGTTCAAAAAATTTTATTGTTAATCCTGACCTTGATTTACCATTTGTTCAAATTCCATTTCGAACATTTGCTGATAATGTTCGTCAACTATTAATTCAACATAATGGTTCAATGCATTTAGCTAGGTAATGATTTAATTGAAAATTTGATCTTATTTTGAAGTTTATTGTGTGTAGTTTTCCTCAATGTTATTCTCATTATTTCGAACCTTTAATTGATCGTCATGAAGGTGTACCACTTGAACATTATATTTCATGTAAGTTTAAATAATATGTTTTGATTGATTCATTTCAATATTGTTTTCATTAGGTATGAAAGATATTCAAATTATAACTGCACAAGGAGTTATTAAAAAAGTTCAATTTTCTCATACACCAGGAGCATCATTTATTTCAACACCATTTGATACATCAAATAGTAAGTGTTATGATTTGATAAATTCATTTCATTTTGAATTGTTTATTTGCTTTGCATAGTGCATGTCGATACATGTGCTGAAGTTCAACAACGTTTACAACAATTTTCACGTGAAGTTCTTGATTTACTTAAAAATCAAGGTTCACATTGTCGTCTACCTGTTTCAAAATTTGTTTCGACTTATCATCAATACTTTAATCGACAATGTCGCGTTGCTGATTATGGTTTTTCAAAAATTATTGATCTTTTATCTGCAATACCAAAATCAATTCAAGTAATTAAGAAAGCTTTTTTTTTAATTAAATAAAAATAAAAATATTATTTTTGTTTTTAAAATAGATACTTGGTGATGGAAATAAACGTATCATAACAATTACTCATCGATGTCAAATGAAACGATTTACTAATGATATTATTCGTATATTGAAAAATAAACCACAACGATCTATGTCAATTAGTGAAATTCCAATTGAATATGGTATGAACAAAATATCGATGCTTCCTACTGATGTGTTCAGAGCAAAAGTTTTGTTTTAAAAGCTATATAAAGTGGGAAAAGAAGGATTTAGATGTTAATAACATCCAAAAAACAGAAAAAATATCTAGGAAAAGTCAAAAGTAACGGGGACAACTTTTTTGAAGTTATAAAATGATATCTACACCTTTCAAGGCAGGCATAGGTGTGACAATGAAGAGAACATTCATACTCACACGCATAATCTTTTCTAACGTGCCAAAGACTTTCCTACAATGGAGTATCAAAACTTTTTTTTTTCAGAAAAGAGCCAAATGCTAATGCTATAAGCACTGAAATCGCGCACAACCTCATATAAAGATTGAAAAAATAAAATCAATTGTATAAAATATTTTTGTTTTATTATTCTAGAAATAGCTTATAAAAAACCATTTTGCATTGATGATTTTGGTATGTGCTATTTGGAAGATCTTGTTAATGAGGTGAAAGATAATAAAGAATTAGTAGTGGAAGCTGAGAAGAGTATTATTAGACTCTATCGTAAAGGTAATCTTTTTATATAAATTTAGAATAAATTAGATCCTTCTTGAAATTTTCAATTTAGAACGAACGGATTTAGAAATTTATGCAACCGGCAATTTTCAACAAGATGTTATTGATATGCTTCGTATTTTACCTGATTTTAGTATACCGTTTCAAAAATTCATTCCATCCTATCAGTGAGACAAGAATTTCTTGTTATTCTATTAATTTGACTATATGTCTTTAGCCATCATTTTGGTTATCAATGTAAAGTACAAACATATGGTTTTGCTCGTTTAATTGATTTACTTGAAGAACTTTCTCATGTTGTCAAAGTATAAAACATATGAATAATATTTTTAATTTGAAATTAAAACATGATTTTTTAAAAATATTCAAACTAGATTGATGAAGATAAGAATGGTGAGAAAATTGTTCAATTAACATCGACGATGATGGGACATGCAATATTATTAAATATTGAACAACTCGTTGAAAAGTCTCACGGTCAATTAAAACTTAAAGATTTACGAACACAATACTTACAAGTTTATCGAAATGAACTTAATCCAGAAGATTTTGGTTTAAGCAATCTTGAAACATTACTTCTTACAATGACCGATAAATTTGAAGTATGTTTTCATAGAAAAGCTTTTTCTAAATATACTTTTCGTTCTATTAATATTAGTTTCATTATACTGAAACTGATGTTTCTATTTCGATCAAAGAACCAAATCCAGTAATATTACAATTAACGAAAAATGTTATTCTTACATTAATGCTATCACAATGTCAATTATCTTTTTGGCAATTAAAACAAGATATGCTTGTGCGCTTTAAACAAGATATTACATTAAATATGTGTCGTAATGAATTACGTGATTATGTCGAGGTTTATTTTGAAGTTTTTATTATATCTAAAATAAACATTTTTTACTAGATAATTGATCAAACAGTTCGTTTAACTCCACCGATGATTTTTGCTTACAATGTGGTGCTTCTTTTAAGTCCATGTGATGGTCGTATGCCTTATGATGATTTTATTGTTGAATATCAACGTCGAACTAGTTCAAGTCATTTACTCTATCCAACAGATTACGGTTTTCCAACAATGCTTCGTCTTTTTGATGCTATTCAAATTGTTGCTCAAGTTCGTGGTCGACGCAATTTTAAAATAATTATGCTCAATCCTGAATTTCGACGTATGTTATTAAAGAAAATTAATGCTTCTATTTTTTTTGTGACACTCATATAGAGTTTTGAGGAACATAGTGAATATAGATATAAATTGAAATTTTTTTCGGATCCTCCTCTACGTAGGCTCTGGCAATCGAGGTCAGAGATCAATGAGTATATTTTTCCTCAAACCAGAAGCGAAGAGAGACTAATAGACATTGAAGACAATAGACATGAAACGTCTTTCTCAAAGTTCTTTTAGCAATAGAAAAAGATGCTGTACAGTATCAACAACAAGACTTAAACTGTTCTAAAAATGTTGCAAAGGTTTCCTCAAAATTAGAATGGCCGGAATATGTTTGTGAAAGTTATAAATAGTGCAGCTTTTTATTTTTGCACAAATGAAAATTTCTATTTCAGACGTCAAAGATGATAGTTAGTACCTTATTGATACAAAAAAAAAACATGTGAACTAATCAATTTATAACTTTGAAAAATAATCATATTCAGTGTTTTTGAGTTGATCGAGATATATAATAGCATGTTGAAACCTGCTCTAGATACAAAGAATATGTACAACAGGTCTATTTGTTAGTTAAATCAACGGTAGAATAATAATGTTCAATTAAGAAACAAAGAAATATGAAAATGAATAGTAACATGTCAAACAAAAAGAAGACCGCCAGTAAAAAAGAAGGTCTGTTCGCCATGCAGAAATAAATAAGGCAGATCCTTTCTCTGACAATCGATTATCCTTGGAAAGCGACTATAGTCTTCTAGAGATTTTTCAATTACGATGAAACTATCCGAACTGATATTCACCTTTGATCTCATATTGGGTTCATATTAAGTTCTTGGTAAAGCTAGAAAAAGTTCAAAAGAATTCGTAAATAATAATATTTTGATCTGAAATTTTGCCTATAAGATAGCGTTTTTTGCAACTAGAATGTCTTGAAAATTTCAGTTCAAAGGAGATGTTACTTTCACAAGGTATTCAATTCCCAAGAAACATGAGATTTGTAAATCTTTCATAGAATATGAGCGAATCTTGGGAACTCAATATCTCGTGAACAGAACATTCTTTCGAGTTGAAATCTGCAGGATATTCTACGTACAAGTAGGCCTCTCTATCGGCGACATTTCATGTCAAAATATTATTGTTCAATTTTTTAACACATGTGAGTCCTACATTGTGACTCTAAAGCGATTGCGTTGACAAGATTTTTTTAAATAATTTTTCTTTTATTTTTAGTCGGACGATATACTCAACCGATAACGTTTACATCACCAATTACATCGTTCTAATTGTTGTTTCAATCATTGGTTTGACACATATGCAACATCGTTTTTTCTTTTTAGTGTTAGTTCAACATTCGAAAGAAGTTTACATGATGCTTCTCTTTTATCATTTGTGTCATATATATTTTCATATAATATTTCACTCATAATTCTTTTGTCGAATATTACTGCTGCTTTTATTCATGTACGTTAGACGAGGTGATTTTTTTTCTCGTTTGTTTGTCTTGTCAAACAGCCGTATTTTTTAGCGTTTAATTTTAACTAAAAAACAACTCTTCTGCTTTCTTTTTTTTTTTGTGTCCGTTTTTATCATCTGTTTTTTTGTTTCAATCTGTTCAAACCGTATATAGACATGAGCATGTGTATTCATGTACTGTTATTGATGATGATTATTTTCTTTTACACGAATTTATCATGGTTATAGTTATAATACGACGTTTTCACTTATGTGTTAATATATAGTTTTTAGCTTTACGTTTTAACTACATTTTATTTTATAGTTTAAAAAAAAACACAACTTCAATTTTTCTCTTTTTTTTCATCCTTTATCATTTATAGTAGATAGATTGATGTCTCTCTTACCTGTTTATTATCACCAAACGTATATTGTTGATTTTTTTGTTTTCGTTTTTTCTTTGACAAGTTCATTCATATTTGTTGATATTCATATTTTATTTATTTATATATATATATGTATATCAATAAAATGTTTGAGAGACATTGATTAGTTCTGATGGTTTTTCTTGTTTACTATACTTATCCAAAAAAAACAAATGTTAATGAAAGAAGCCTTATTGTTGTTTAAAACGCTTATGCTGATATAAGAGAATTTTTTTTTCTTGTGGTTTTGTTAATCTTTAGTTAATAGTATTAAGAGAAATGAAAACAGAGAAATATCAGTCATAAATAGAAATTGATTAGTCATCGTTTTTTTCCTCATGTTCTGCTAATTTCATATAATCATCAATTAAATCACCAATAACATCACCAATTTCAGTATCAAATGTATATTTTTTCGATGAACGTCCTAAACGTACTTCAAGGAAGAGTGAAATAGCATTCGAATTAAAATTTAAATTATAATAAGGAAATTTAGCCAAAAATTCCTTGAACAGATAAAATGAAAACAATCAATTTCAATTAAAATAAAATATAAATCTTACTTTTGTATCTGCATCCAAAATCTCTACACCATTTTGATTGATACAAATATAAATATCTTCAGGAAATTCACCTTCGGTTTCGTTCTGTAAAAAATGAAATAATTTTAAAGAAAATATTCAAAGTATTTAAGAAGGAAGCTATGACATCAGCAAGTATACGAAATATTTGATAACAATTTTTTTTTTATATGTATCGGTGTCTAAAATCACTAACTTCCAAACTTTTACGTTCAATATCCTTTTCTTCAAGAGTTAGTGAATTTCATTGTCATGACACAATTGTAAAGCAAAAGCACACGTGACCTTGGTAATCATCGTCAAAAACAACATTGAATCAAATACATTTTTAGAGAAATGTTTTTCCTGCGAGAAATTGACTTCTGAGTAACTATAGGTGAATTTTTCGCAGGAAAAATCTTCTATAAATGTATTCTATTCAGTGTAGCCTTCGACGATAAATACCAGGATCACATGTATTTTGCAACACAATTGTGTTATGGCAATGAAAATCGCAAAATATTTTTTTGTTTACTGAAAAACATTATGTAAGAGAGAGGTATGAAACTCATTTCTCTCTAAACGTATCATTTGTTTTTGGATATTGTTTTTATCATTTTATAGGGAATAAAAAATTGCATAGCATATAAAATTCAACATGGGACTGCTTTGTTTTGAATCCTAATAAGTGATAGATTGTTATCAAATGGAAATTTTTGATTCATCGAAAGAGGCATAATCCAATCATATTTGCCTTATAAAATTTGAGGCGATCAACACTATTTTATTACAAAAGTTCATTATATTTAGTTTTTAATTCTCTATCTTTTCGTATAATTTATGAAAAATTTGAATGATTCATTGGAATGAAAACAAGCGCATAACTTTACGAGGTATTTTTTGCTGTTTCATCTCATAAGGATATGATAGTGATAAAAAGTCGATATTGACTAACTTTTGAAACAAAAAAATTTTGGAGTTGCTAGTTTCAGATATCGATATATAGAAAAATACTTTTTTAATGGAGTGGTTTGTATACTCGATGATCTCGTAATTCCTATCTTAAATATTCGTCAGACCATATTGACATTATCGTATATGGTTATGAAAATAGTTTATATTCGATTCTTATGATGATTTTACCTTAATCGGATACATTGTCGTACCATATGTTGGCCAAGCAGAAACATGTTGTAAAAAGCGAAGTTTCGCATCATCTTCATTCACATCTCGAAGATTACCTGCAGCTACGTAGATTTTCTAAAAAATCATACAAATATGAAATGTCATGAATGAATCCTATATTCTTACCTTAGCCCAATCAGATTGTGTTGTGACTTTGATTAAATAGGCTGGAATAAAAGTTGTTAGATTCGCTCTAAATATTTATGAGTTATTCTTATAAATTTTGAATACAAAGAAAATAATATTGACTTACTCAGGTGCTCCTCTGCCTCGCTCAGCTCTACCTAATAATGCAGCTAAATTAGCTGCTTCTTCAACTTCTGATTTATGTAGACCTAACATATAATTATCTCTTTCTTGATAAAAATGAATCATACAATCAGCTTGTTTATCTTCACCCGGTATAATATCAACCCAAAGTTTTCGACGGAAATGAACTTTATAATCAAGTTTTTCTATAAAATAGTACAAAAACAACAATATCAATAATTAGAATCATCAATAAATAATTTTTACTCTTATCATGACCACGAAGTTGTGTTAGAAAATCAAAAAAGTAACTATTACTTGGAATACTAACTTCTGCAATATATATATATATAATAATGAGTAAAAATAAGACGGAAAAAAAGTAGTTCACTTACCTTTTTTGCCTGTTTCTAAATACAATGAAAGTCCAGTTGCAGACGATGGAACATATTTAAGTTCTCGACAAATATTAGAAACTAGTTCACTTGCTTTTGTTGTTGACTCAACAACAAAATCTTGTTCATGTCCATTTGGAAAATGAATATATTGACGAATTTTGACACGATTGATATTTGCATTACATTCAATAATATGCGGACCACGAACACGTTCACCTTGTCTAAAGAAATTTAAATAAAGTTTAAAAAAAACAAAAATTCAAAACAATAAATATTTACTTTTGAATTTTTTGAACACGATTATAACATTCTAATGCTGTTGGATTTGAACTTGAGCGAAGAAAAAGTAAAACATGATGAAGAAGAGCTTTTCCAGGTACAAGAACACCCGTGAGAAGCCAAAGTAATTCCCAAAGACGTGTTTCAATTTTCAAATCAGGACAAAATGTTAATTGTTTTATCAATTGACAATATAATTCTTCTTTCAAGATTTTCTAAAATCATTTAATTTAATATTTATTCTTCTTAGTTTTTTGGAAAACATAACTTAAAAAAAAGAAGTTTGGAAGTATACAGGTGAAAACTTAAACTTATCCTCAGACCATGAGAACATCACAGATATCTTAGTTCACGAAAGATGGAACCAATGGCACTTAGCCACCGATTGTTACCGATGTATCTTATTAATTCTTTTCCACCTACGAGGGAAGGCTCCTAATTGATACATCACATTTGAATTTGGACAATGTGCATCATGTAGCGTGTAATGAACTATGAGTACTCTGATATACTACATTTTCAAGGTATTTTTTATTATCATGCCGTGGTCCTTCCTCAGGAACATCAGAAAAACTGAGCTTTGAATTTCAACTTGAAACTTTGCATAGAGGCTGACTTTAATAAGACTAGTTTATTGTGAAAATTTCAGATCTTCTGATTATTAATATTGTGAAATGAGAACATCAGAATCTATCTGTATGCATAAGCGACGTAAAAAAACATGTCTGTACCATAGTTATATCTTAGAGTGGGAGTAATCAGAAGATCTGAAACTTACAAAATAAACTAGTCTCATTTTGAGTTTACACTTACACAAAGTTTTAGGATGAAATTCAAAATTCAGCTTTCTTCGTGTCCCTGAGGTAGGCCGCCGTATTATGCCAAAAAATAACGTAAAAATACAGTACCTCGATCAGAATAAGTTAACAGTTCGACTTCTGTTCAGAGTATTTATAGCTCATTACTAGCGATATGATGTACATTATTGAGACTCAAAAGTGACGTATTAGTTGAGGACTTCCCCTCGTTAATATCTCATAGAGAATGTATAATGAAACTTTGTTGAAAGTGAACTACGTCAAACATCACTAGTCACAGATGGAGTAGTACGACAGCTCGTCAGTTCAGCATCGGTATAGATTTCAGACCGACCGGTTGATTGGCCAGTCTTGTTTGCTCTACTCAGACCGTGATAGACAACCATGGGAACATCATAGACTGTGTATCAATAACGTCTAGTTACAATATATGAACTCGTTCGTTATTGTATGTCTGAAGAATTAAGTAAAAGGAAGATGAATAAATGTACCTCAAAATAGAAAGAATAAATATAATCTCCCGCCTATGATTAGCAACAGTAAGTACATTGCATTTCACATCTTAATCCCGTAGAGATTATGCTAATAAGTTTTTAGTATAACTTACATTTTTCTCAAATGCATAATCAAATATACTATCCAAATCACTTTGTTGAATTTTTTTTCTTTCTTGTGGTGTCAGTTTTGCATAATTCATTATAGTACGAAACATAGCCACAGCCTTAGCTGAAAGTTCACCTTGACCATCAAAACGATGTAATAATGGTCCTTTCATTTCTGTTGCTTCATAATGCCATGCTGTTGTTTTTCTTGAACGAAAATATTTCTGAGCATAAGCTTCTAATGTATGTAAATTAACATGAGTTTCTTGTTCAATATCTTGATTCAAATCAACGGCACGTTTCATTACATGTAAA